GGTTCAGCCTCCTCAGAGCTGAATGTCACAGCCAGCTGGCCGGGCAGCTGCTTCTCTTCCCTCCAGCCCGGTTGCCCTGCGTTCAGCCCAGGGAGGCTGCGCCTAGCTCCAGCTGTGAAAGCCACAGTCAGCTGGCTGGGGTGTTTCAGCCCTCCCGACCTCTCAGCTCCCACCATTCCTTGCAGCTACTCACCTGTGTGGTTGCTCAGTGAGTAGCTGCTCCTCAAATGAGGAAATCTAATGTAAATGTACTGCACAGGCGCACAGTTCAGAGAAGGCTCAAGAGCTACTCTTAGAGCCCCTGAGATCTACCGGTAGCTCACGATCTACTGGTTGGTGACTACGGCTGTAGATCCTGAAGAGAGGGGTCTCTACATTGCTGGGGGTACATTGGCTACAATGTGAGAGGCCCTAATCTAAACCTTTGCTCACAGGGATTAAACATCTTTCAAGATTTGTACTTTCATCTTTACTTTTGATCATCATTTAGGGGACATAACTGACAAATCTATAATACTCTGAATGGTATCACTGATGATATGCTTCAATCTGCTTCCTAATTTTTCCTTTTGTTGTAAAATCCTTGGTATAATTTGGTAATTTTTCCTTACCGTTCTCCTGTATAACCTGGACTGCAGTGACACTGCCCAGTTGCTGAGTCACATGTCCCTCCATTGTGGCACTGACATTCCTGGGAGCAGTTCTTCCCATAGCGACCCTCTGGACAAGGCTGACCACAGACTGTGCCCTGTTTACAAACAGAATCTAAATGTTAGGCTTGATTGCAGCTGGAGAAGAGAAGGAGATAGGAAATAAGTAAGGAGATTAATGGGATCTTATATCAGACTGCTCATGCTCTTCTAGAAAATACCAGATTCTTTTTTAGCCTTAAACACAGACTATGTTTTGCCACAGATTTGAGGTGACAATATGCTGGGATTTCTATAATGGAAGCTAAAGCTAGTCAAAAACTATTTCTCCAAGCAACAGTAAACATTTAGATATTTAAGACCAGCTGACATCAACGTCTTCGTTATTTACCCACATAATTAAATACTAGTGCAGGCAAAAATGCTTAGTAGTTAAAAATGCATAAAATGTAACAGTTGCGATAGTGTCCATTTACCTTGTTTTGTGTTTAAAATAAAGACATTATACTGGCAACTTTGTTATAAATTAATACATCTTAAAAGCTTAGGCATGATTCTCTTCTCATTGACACTTGTTTTTGAGCCTCTATATTTACATCCCTGGAGCTATTTACAGTTGTACACGTGAGAGGAGAATCCATTCTTAAGTCTTTTAGGAAGGCAATTCAAGAACACATTTAAAGCCATATAAGCAAAACTAATATAAGATCCTGCGAAATTTGTGCCTGATCATTTTACACCAGTCTTTCTAAGAAAAGCTAAAAAGTCAGTGTTGACAGGATTACCCAGCAAGAAAGTGAGAAATTAAAAAATCAATAAACAGGCATACTCAAATGTTGACTTGGGACAGAAAATTAGCTTTATACTTACATGTTGTAGGTTTTTCATTACACTAGTATCTGACATACTGAGTTTTAATCATTTTATTTAGATCAAATATGAAAGCCAACAATTAATGAAAATACTTATACTTTTTCAACATCATCATTTATTTTATGGTAGCACCAAAACGACATAGGATTACGACTCATCTGAATAGTTTTGGACTCTTTACTAAAGCATTTACTATAGAATAAAACTGGTCAAAATTTTAATAAAACAAAAGTGTTTGAATCAAAATGAAAGATGCAACAATTATTTTGGTCAAAAAATGAGAAACATACACCTTTTTCAAGTATAAAAGGAGGGAGGAAAGAAATGGAGGAGTGGGAACAAAAACTTAAAAAAAAAATTCAATTTTGATATTATTGTAAAATTCTATTAAATATTCCTAAAATAGCCAAAATTTTTCATTCTGTACAAAGTTTTTCACAGAAAACATATTAGCTTTTTTGGATGAGCTCTAATTAAAAACAAATACAGCAAGACCAATAGACATCAGGAGGGAAATACAATTGAGGATAACAGCAATAAGATCACATGATACATGTATACCATGTGGTAGTTTGAATCTAAATTATAAGTGGTTCCATTTTGACTATATAAAAATTGCCTATTACATCATTATAACTTCCTTTCCAATGCTTGCCAGAAATGGTAACCCTGGGTTCACTGCCTATTATTTTACATTTTATTTGTTTTGTTTGTTGTACTGTACCATTATAAAGACCATCTATACCATCCTGGTATCTAGCATGATTAAATATGTTGGCTGTAGGACATAAACTGCTGAAACAATGCCTCACCCCGTACTACAGAATTCTCTTCCCCATGTGGGAAGCCAGTGGAGCCCCTCATATTTGTCCACATGATAGGAATGGGTCCTTGCTGGTGTGAGGTGCAAAGAGATAGAAAGCCCATTGATCAGTTAATGAAGCTAATATTCTGATGTCACTGGACTCCTGGGCTATGAAGATGCCACCAAAACTTGCCTACTACCTACTTTTCTTTGAAGAGACTAGCACCATATATTTGGAAATATACACAAAGGCCACCACAGGATTATTTAATGGTGCTGCTGTTCAAAATGTAGCAGTTATATCTAATTATATCCACAAGGTCACGACTTCTGTTCAGATTCCAAAAGATGCTGTTTGCATGCTGCAAGAAGCCCATTTTCCTTTTCATATTCTTTGAAAAGGTTAACAAGGCAATCCAGAATTTATATTTGATTCTCATCCCTTGTGGTGGTACCATGTGCTAAAATACATTTCCTGTTGTTCTTGGCTGCAGTCAGACTGTCTTTGCTTTTCCAATTACTCTTTTGTCTGAAGATGCCTGAAATCCACAAACATGGAAATTTACTCCATTTATATTTATTTTAGAAAGCAGCTTTACCATCCATCCAGGTGGACAGGCACATTCCCCAGTCACATGGTGACATACTCCTCCATTCTGGCATGGACATCTTTCTTCACACTGTGGCCCATGCTTGCCAGGGGGACAAAGATCCTCACAGCTAAAGAATTGGGGAATAATCAATATAATTGTCATTCATGTGCAAAGTTCAGTCTCTCCCCCTCTCATTTACTTTTTTATCACATAATTCTTCAGTTTATAAATATGAAAAGGCAAGCACTCAGCAATAAAGAGAAATAACTTATACAGGATAAAATTAGCAATTAAAGAATTGTGTCATAGGAACCAACTCTATTTTGAACCCAAATCTTGACATGAACTTTGCTAGCAGAGATTCTTTAGGAAAAGCTTTGGATCAGCATGCTGTTGGCTTGCCTGGCCTTGCTTCCTTTTGGGCCAGTTCTGTTCCTTTATAAATTTCACTAGCTATTTTTCTACCAGGAGTCTGTGCATGAAAACAGAGAACTACCCATCTAACTCTCTATTGCATGTGTGTAAATACCCATTTAAATGCTTCCAAAAATGTGAGCATAGCTTCAGAGAATGGTTTGAAAAATTGGGCTTAATCCTTAAAATCAATCCCCTCAAATCTTTAATTGATGTCTGCTTCCTAATGTAGCCATTAGCACTCAAACTCGGTCCTGAGTTCCATTGAAAGAAGTAGGCTGGAGGTAAAATGGCTAATCTAAACACAAATATAAAAGCTGAAGTCAATTCTCAAACTGATACTACAACCTAAATGTAAACCAACTACTTATTATTGCAGAACCATAACCTCAGGAATGATTTTATATAAATTTGCTGGTGCTACTAGTGCAACAGCTGCATCTTACCAAGAGTTTATGCTGTAGCATTTTAATAATATTCCCTGATAAGTCTATAGAAGGACCTATACTCAGATATAAATACTGGTACGTTTTAAAAGAGGCACTTGCAGCATAACATTCACACAGGTTACTAAATACTAAATATTTTGCCCAAGGGTTAATGCCATACCAAAACCCACCTTCCCCACAGTAAATAATATACCCTCTGCTTACAAAGCACCAGTATATCCAGGAGGACATCTGCATTCTCCAGTCACATGATCACAGGTGGCTCCATTTTGACACTGACATTTTTGGTGACAATCATTTCCATATGTCCCCTGGTCACAGCGTTCTTCACAGCGCCAGCCCTTGAAACCAGAAGCACAGTGGCAGGCTCCAGTGATGGGGTTACATAAGGCTCCATTTTTGCACTGGCAGCGACTACTGCAGTGGGGTCCCCAGTGGTCACTATCACATGCTGAGGAGTGGAAAGAAAATGTCACAGCACTTCTGTAAGTATGAATGGTGCAATACAGAAGATATAATGATTCAGAGATATCGAGATGGGGTACTGGTATCTTTGCAGGGACTTCCTCAGCTCTCCTAGGTCTTTAAATATCTTGATAGCCAGGTAGGATTTAATTTCCTGTTTTTAAAATATAGGACTCATCCTGCCCTTAAAATAAATTGAAACTTCATCTACAGTGAAATAAATATAAGTTCCAAATTCCTTCAATGCATTCTGATGTGAAATAGAAATTATGATCATAGTGAATCTTTAGTTACAGGGACAAAAGACTGTATTTTCCATTTGGCTACTTATTTCAGTGGAGTTACAAGAGTATAAATAAGAGCAACATTTAGCTCATAATCTGAATTTGGAGCCATATCATATCTAAAGCCCACACTGAAGTTATTCTATGTAAAGAATTCATTAGAAGAGGATCACATTTCACAACAATTTTTAAACATGAAACTTACACCTTGTTTACATACTTACAGCTATTTCCTTTCATGTTTTACAATACTATTGGTTGACAGTGCTATAAGCAATGCAATAAACATTCCATCAGACAACAGAAGCTAACTGTTATTTGGTTAAACAGTAAGGGGACACATATAATAGTAAGGCTACAGTTTCATATTTTGAGTTAGCCCAATATGTTTTTATAATAATTCTACTATGTATTTTTTTGTTTTCTACATTCTACTCCATCAAAACCTGATAGGGTAAACCCTATTTTGGTTTTTCACTTTCAAAATAAAATGTTCAAAAGTAAGGATGTTTTGTTTAAATGAGAAATAGGAGTTTTCAATAACAAAATAGAAGATAAAGGTTATCTAGAGTTCACCAGAAATGTGATAATCATAGAGGTCAAAGGAACTTCTTTTAAGGTGTATGTTCTGCTGATAACAATAGTGCAGTGGTGAAATCTCAATTGCAATCGCTGGATGCCCATACTCTCTCCTTAATGATTAAACATCATTGTTCGCTCAGCGTTCTCCTGGGGCAGAGCAGCCAAGCAGAGAACAGACCTACTTTCTTAGAGTGGGACAAAAGATCTCAAGACATCTCCTTGGGGTAAGAATTACTCTGCTATAGAAACGGATCACTCAGACTACACAAATAAAAAGGATTAGGGTCCTTTAAGGAATTTTTGCCTTCTGTATGACTTGTGTCCTGGGTAATTCCTAAGAGCTATGGTATGCTTTGATGTGACAGTTTCTTCTCAAACCATATTTTTCTAAACGATGACTGGAATATGCATTTCACAATGTAGCTATTGAATATGTAGACATACTGTGGCTAAAAAATTAGATAGATAGATAGATAGATAGATAGATAGATAGATAGATAGATAGATAGATAGATAGATAGATAGATAGATAGATAGATAGATAGATAGATAGATAGATAGATAGATAGATAGATAGATAGATAGATAGATAGATAGATAGATAGATAGATAGATAGATAGATAGATAGATAGATAGATAGATAGATAGATAGATAGATAGATAGATAGATAGATAGATAGATAGATAGATAGATAGATAGATAGATAGATAGATAGATAGATAGATAGATAGATAGATAGATAGATAGATAGATAGATAGATAGATAGATAGATAGATAGATAGATAGATAGATAGATAGATAGATAGATAGATAGATAGATAGATAGATAGATAGATAGATAGATAGATAGATAGATAGATAGATAGATAGATAGATAGATAGATAGATAGATAGATAGATAGATAGATAGATAGATAGATAGATAGATAGATAGATAGATAGATAGATAGATAGATAGATAGATAGATAGATAGATAGAATATGAATAATGGAGTAAAAACATGGAATAATTGCATCTCCTTCATCTCTTCATTCTTGTTCCATTTCTCATTTAGATACTTAAGCATTCATTTATGTATTAGATTATGTGTACAATGCACCACAATGTATTTCACTGTAGGTTTTATTTCATTATAACTCAGATAAGCCTGGGAAAAGCAACACAATATTTTGAAAATGTCCAGAGGAAGAACAAAACGTTCTCCCTATGCTAAATAAGTCCTCAACTTCTCTTCAGGAAACCAACTGTTCTGAATGATATGTATGTGTGCAGTATGTTTGTGAGACAGACAAATGTTCTCTCAGGACCGTATGGAGGCCACCAAATTCATTTTCCTTCACACACCATCATGGATCCATATTACTGTCCTCCTCCTGTTCCAACTGAAAAGGACAATTTCAGCCATTCTTCACAGAGAAATTAAAAATAAACTTGATTGTTCGGGAATGTCAGAAAAACCCTCTGTGAAGAACTGAAGGATTTATAATAACCATCTGATAGCAGCTCTTTCAAATAAAATAAAACAGGCCATAAGCATCCCCCTTGTGAATGTGGCCCAACTTCTTTTAATATACAAAAAGCACTGCTAGCCAAAAAAAAGTTTTTGGCTAACAATTTGCAGTTTGTAGTATTTTACCGAAGTCTGGAAGTGGGATATTTGATGCAATCTGCCAACATTCAAACAGAAGTTTGGAGAAACAGTTTAATGAATCTCAAACACATGCAGATGGCCTTTGCTCCTGTATCACTTCTACAGTAACAGTGAACCAAACAATATGTACAATGGCAGGATTACACAACCTGTGACAATTGTGAAGCATTGCAGGCCTTCTGCAGCCATTATAATGCCTTTTAACAGCTACAGCATCAGACTGCTGTTTTAGATTGTGAATGTCCCTTTGAGATCTACTGAAGTTAGAGACTGAACATGGTGCATCTCTGAACTTGAACTTTTCTAGACTATTTTACTGTAAGAGACATGTGCTGAACATTTTATTACATGTTTTTAGTTTCCTGGTATGCTGTTCTCTTTCTGTTCATATGGGACCTATTAAAATAAAGAACACTTAAACACTGTTTAGTTTTCCAAACTCATGGTCACTCTGGCTGTGTCTACACTGGACCCTTCTTCGGAATAGCCATGCTAATTTAGAACTTTGGAATAGGGAAATGTGCGGGGGATTTAAATATCCCCCGCGGGATTTAAATAAACATGGCCGCCGCTTTTTTCCGGCTTGGGGAAAAGACTTGAAAGTAAGTAGGAATAAGAGATCCTCCGGAATAGGGCTTTATTCCGGAGGATCGCACCAGTCTGGACGCTCTT